ATAAGCTCCCACTCTCTAATACGGTATGCGCCCCCTTCTAATATAGGACAAGCCCTCGAATATAGGACAAGCCTTCTAATATAAGACAAACCTTCCGCTCTCTAATAGGCCTTCCCCTCTCTAGGAAGGCCCCAGTCTAATCAAGCCTCCAACTCCAAATCAAGCCTCAAACTTAAACAGCATAAAATAGCAGCTTATTATGCAGTTTAATATGGGTTCATGAATCTAACATACCTGATGTGGTTGTGGGTTTTCCTATTTTTGATGTCAAATACTTGTGCACACCATCCCAGAACTTCTTACATTCTTCTTGGTAGTGACCATGAAGGACATCTGTGACCATGGGGGATACCAAAAAAGGTACCAATATCACACCAAACAACACAGCAATCCCTGCTTCTTCTGGATGTTTGTCTGAGGAAATATTTGAAACAAACATTGCAATCTAAACAAACAAAATGTCACTCCATTAAATCCTAATCACAGTCCTTAAAGGCACAGAGCCGCAAGGTGCGCATGATGCATTTTAATTGATTTACCTATGACATACATAACTGTCAGCCATCTGATTGTGAATTCGAGTAAAGCCATAAATTCATCCCAAAAAAATGTTTCCCACAGCCACCATGTTTTCAAACTAAATTTATCAAGTCATGTGATCCCAGGATGAATTCTAGCTGACTGGTTAGAGTGTTAAAAGTCAGAACACTGTACATTTGACCAAATCAGGCAAATATTATAATATGTTATGGATATTGATGCATCACTAGACCAAATGTGTATGCAGACATGTTTTAAGGTGACAGGACACCCTTTTTGGCGTTTTGCGGAAAATCGCTACTGCGCACTCAATATCAATCCGATTTTCATCAAATTTTCACCAAATGTTCGCCATGCAGTGCATGCAAAATATGGTAAAGTTGTAAAATTGACAAGCTTAATAAGTACAATAAAATAATGTAAGAATTATTCAAGAAAATTTTAAATAGTGGTACCTTTAATTATGCTGTTGAGTTGTTTTCCTGCTGGTTTTAAGATGTTTATAAAAATATCATTTTTATACAGTAAAATAGTTGTTCTCAAAAATTGTGTTTGGCAATTTTTGTTTATTTCGTCATTCCGCTGATATGGCGATTTTTTTTAATGACTGCAATATATTTCTGAATTGTTTGAGTGAATTGCTCATCCCTTTATTAAAATATCCAAAATTAGAAAAAAGCCTAACACAGATTTGAAACTTACATCTTTAGATATATCCTTGCTGCAAAATTCTTCGGGAGAAAATTGAATTTCAATATTACGTTTTCAATGTTTTTTTATTGCAGCAAAATGTATTTTATTAAATAACTCAAGCTTGCATGGTCAGATAGTATAGAACTAGTCCAATGCTTTCAAACCAATAAAAAAAAGTTCAGGCAAAATTAACACTCCTGCAAAGGTGTTCAGTAAAGATCACAGTGTAACCTTAATTAAGGCGAGTGTTAGGACTTAGGTGTATGAGCTTTACCCAATCAATATGTGAGTTTCAGGAAGTATTATCATGCAGCATCTAGTTGTGAACCAGCAGTTATCAGAGTAAGAAAATGTTAAAATTAATTTTGTTATATAATTCTTGTATTCAGTGGCACATACACATTTCCATGCATAAGTGTCAACAATTCTGAAGTTCACCACCATTTGCTACCATGTAATACTAATTGAAACCCAGCATCATGTTGAACCTGACACTTACCATATATGGGCACCAACAAGTTACAAACGAACTAGAAACAACCAACTCAAAAACCATCGTCTCTTTACGTCGATTGAACGACACCCTCATCTGCCTTCTATTTTCGTAAACTTTCCGCATTAACCATAGATATATGATGATAAGCGCAGCAGTTACCAAAAATAGAATAAGGTTCAAAAACACAGTCACTCGAGTCGCTGCCTCTTTGTGCCACTGTATTAAACAAATTGCATATTTTGATTGGTAGTAACTACCAAGTCTCGTCAAGGGTATAATTGCCATAAACATGCCGTATAATGTACAGCACACAAAAATAATTATAGGAACATTGCTTTCACCTCTAACGTAACTATGATAATTAAATGGCTTGTGTAAATTGTATATTTTGTCCAGCAGCCCAACAAGAATTCCAACTACAGCAAAATTAAAACCGAATGTATACAGAAAACCAAAGAAGTCACATAATCCATCGGAGAGTTCATTATTTCTTGCCAAAAGCGTCGTCATATTTACAAGCAAACTCAACCCGACCAAAGAGAAAGCGAGATTCATACAAATAAGATTCCATAGTCCATGAATTTTTCGACCAGGTTCTGACTTTTCACGACTAACTTTTGATAGCCACAGTATAAAGCTGGTAAAAACATTTCCAATACAAATAATGAGGCCAAGAAGAAGCCATATTACGCTCAAATATTTTGGCTGGGGCACGTCTTCTTCCATGATCAAAGTTATCAGGAAGTTCTTCAACGAAAACATGCATCCTTGGCATTCCTAGCCTGCGTATTTCATGAAATACGAAGCGCGCGTCTGCACCGCAGGCACACGCAGGCGCTAATGGCATTCCTTGCATAAATGGAATATTTAAGAGGCAGTCTCTGTAAGAACCTCATGACCTCTTTGGATCAACAAATAGATTTCTCTCAAACTTTGTAGTTGAGATTGCCTTTATAAGGGTTGTTTCAAAATGCATTTTGTTTTCAGTCTAATTGCATTTTGGCAAAGTTCCAGGGGGGTCAAGTTGAGGGCTAAAATTATGGTTTTTGCTGTTCTCAATAGTGGATTTTTGCTGATTTTTAAACCTCTGTACATCAAACAAAAATAATTATGAAACTAAATCTTTCCAGACAATAGTAGCTTTATATGTCTTAAGTAACAAGGTGTCTATAAATTTTTCAAATTTGTTTTCTAAATATAGAAATGACATCATTCATGATAGACTAAAATAGAAATTTTCAAGTTCCTTAAAAATGGGTGAAATAAAAACCCTAAAATTCAAAAGTTAGACTTGCTATGAATGTAATATTATTTGTATGGTGAGATTAAAGGTTGGTCTTACATGATATAAAATGAAATATTGCGGCCTGTAAATTTTGGAGGTACTACAGGCCAACAAAACATCAACATTTTCGACTTTCGGCAGTTTGGAGCAAATAAGAACGTTCATGTTTACTGTAAACTCTGCTTTGAAAGAGCAAAATTTTACATATTATTGGACCTAGAACAGTGATGAACATTCGTTTGACCTTAACTGTTGTCTAAAGTCTTTTAGGGAAAAGCACTGACACAGGCATTTCCGCTATTTATGGACGTAATGGACCGTATTGTATAAATAATAAACATTTTCTAGCTGAATATAATCAAGACAAGTTATACATTTGCATCATGTAAAGACGTCCGTTAGTAAACAAATTATCAAACATCGATTTATATTGAAGATTTATTTAGAAAGTCAAGAGAAAACCTACCCCAATATAATTGATACAAAGTATGCCTCGATCATAGCCTTGTCGTTCAATGACCCCGATTGTCAGTTGACTTATTATTTGACGTTCGTTAGCTTCCATTATTCTTTAGTGTTAATCACTTTCGATATCTTAATGATTATTGTAGACACAGTCTCGTATATAAATCGTGATTCTTCGTCAACAGGCAATGCTAGTCAATTCCTCCATCGTTTAATTTTACTCATTTTGTTATTGTTATGGCGGAAGCCGCTGACCGGCTAAATAATTCGGCCGTCAAAACACGTGCAACATGTCGAGAATTGTTTGCTTTCACACCGAAAATTTACCGCGAGACTATTTCCACAGGTGATTTTTGACTTTTTAATTTTTGTGAAAACACATGCAGCTGAAATAAAAAAATATATCTAAATTTTGTATAATTTTACGGTTTTGATATTAACTTGCTTTCATATAAACTTGCTTGCGTGTTGCGTTAATATATAAGTAACTTGTGAATTACGCTAACGTAACGAATTGAAAAAATTCAATGTCAAAATGCTGAAAGAAATCTGCAGCGAATTAGAAGTACATATATATATATGCAAAACTTTTTTATTATTGTTATTAAAGTAATATTTTAACAGCTTCCATCACATACGTGGTTTTCAGGGAGGTTCTGCAAATAAATTACAATATAGCTAATAGTAATACGTTATAATATATCTTTCTGAAGTATATGTACTAGGAAATTACGATGTAAAAAGTAAAATAAGTCACTACTATAATCCAAAGTTCTTGATATGTTTAAAAGTTATAAGGAAATCGTTTTCTCAAATAGAATTGGGTAAATTGTTCCAATCCTTAAAAATGTAATCTCTATTTTAATGAAAATCTCTATTTTAGTCTGTCACGAATGAAACAGACTAAATGTAATTTTTCTAAATATAGAAACATTTCTATATTTAGAAAATATATTTTAAAAAATTATAGATTCCTTGATACTTAGGACATACCAAGCTACTATTGTGCGGGAGGATACAGGTTTATCATGATATTTGTTTGATGGAAGCAAAATTTTCCAAGGTTGTAAATATCTCTATCGTGCACAAACCCGCCCTGTACGTTTGACAGTCGAATTATTTGGCTGGTCAGCGGCCTCCGCCATAACAACAACAAAATCGAGTTATATAAACGATGGACTGATGGAGGAATTGACTAACATTGCCTGTTCGGACGAAGAATCAAGATTTATATACAAGACTGTGTCTACAATAATCATTAAGATATCGAAAGTGATTAACACTAAAGAATAATGGCAGCTAACGAACGTCAAATAATAAGTCAACTGACCATTCGGGTCATTAAATGACAAGGCTGTCGATCGAGGCATACTTTGTATCAATATAAATATATTGGGGTAGGTTTTCTCTTGAATTTTTAAATAAATCTTCAAAATAAATCGATGTTTGATAATTTGTTGACTAACGGACGTCTTTACATGATGCAAATGTATAACTTGTCTTGATTATATTCAGCTAGAAAATGTTTATTATTTATACAATACGGTCCATTACGTCCATAAATAACGGAAATGCCCGTGTCAGTGCTTTTCCCTAAAAGACTTTAGACAACAGTAAAGGTCAAACGAATGTTCATCACTGTTCTAGGTCCAATAATATGTAAAATTTTGCTCTTTCAAAGCAGAGTTTACAGTAAACATGAACGTTCTTATTTACTCCAAACTGCCGAAAGTCGAAAATGTTGATGTTTTGTTGGCCGGCAGTACCTCCAAAATTTACAGGCCGCAATATTTTATTTTATATTATGTAAGACCAACCTTTAATCTCACCATACAAATAATATTACATTCATAGCAAGTCTAACTTTTGAATTTTAGGGGTTTTATTTCACCCATTTTTAAGGAACTTGGAAATTTCTATTTTAGTCTATCATGAATGATGTCATTTCTATATTTAGAAAACAAATTTGAAAAATTTATAGATACCTTGTTACTTAAGACATATAAAGCTACTATTGTCTGGAAAGATTTAGTTTTATGATTATTTTTGTTTGATGTACAGAGGTTTAAAAATCAGCAAAAATCCACTATTGAGAAACAGCAAAAATCGTAATTTTTTCCCTCAACTTGACCCCCCTGGAACTTTGCCAAAATGCAATTAGACTGAAAACAAAATGCATTTTGAAACAACCCTTATAAAGGCAATCTCAACTACAAAGTTTGAGAGAAATCTATTTGTTGATCCAAAGAGGTCATGAGGCTCTTACAGAGACTGCCTCTTAAAACTACAATTGTCTCGAACATTTTTAGGTAAATTATTGATAAGTAATATCATGGTTTCTCGTGAAATTTAGATAAACATGCACCCGTGAGTTTTTCAAAGACCTCAAATAGCACTCGTCCTTCGGCCTTGTGCTATTGTGAGGTCTTTGAAAAACTCACTCGTGCATGTTATAATTATATCCAAATTGCACTCGAAACTATGCTATTACCTATACAAACACTTCTTGGAAATAATGCATGTTGAATTATTAGTGTTAGAGCATAAGGGTACTCTATACTTCAAACAGCTGGCGGTGTTGGTTAATAATGTTTAAGAACCGTAAAACGGCGAATTGTAAGAACAAAGTCCTTCGTCTGATTTCTAGTGAACGCCTCTTGTCTTGTAACGCTTACTTCCTTTAAAGTACCGCACATATACACAACGTGATCGATCTAATATTCCAATGTGTTTATTTGGTCATGTGATACATATATACGGAACCACGCTGTCCCTTTATCACTGAAAGGTATGTCAAATTGTTGCATCAAGTGTTATTTACGTTAATGTGACAAGAAGCAATTCTTACTATCTTGCAGAGTGCTGCAGCTTGCAACACAAGCGCTATTACAGAGGAGAATGCCGCGCGCGTTGCATTGACAAACCAGAGGATGGGGTATCACTCCCCAATTATCGACATTAGGAGCCCCTTTGGGAAACGTTTGACAAGTACAAACCATGTGCACTACATTGTTATTTGGTTTAGTGTATGTTTATATCTTGCTATGTTTTGGACGTTTTGTATTGGTTTGTGATTAAATATATCGAGTTGTTTTGTGTTAAATGATAATTTAACTTCCCCAAAAACGTGATGAAATAGCTCACTAAATTACACACTCTACTGATACTAGATTGAAAATCGCCAAACACGTTCATTGTGCTATATTATGTAAGGTTAGCCTTGGAGTCGGATACAGTTTCAGATAATAAATTAAACAAAGTGCATTCAAACTTCCCAAGGTAAAATTGCTTCAAAACACCCTTGGCATATTTTTCAGACTTACCTTATAAGAAAAATCCTATCTACGTCAGAGACATCTGAAAACAATTTACAAAAAATGTGACTACGTAGCTCGAGTCTGCCCACATTTACATGCCATTTTCATTTTTCATCTCCTAACAATTATGTCAGGATAAAGAAATTATCTGCACAGCAGAATGCTGCATGACGATGCTCATAATTTGTGTGTGACTACTTTTTGAATAATATGCATGGCTCCGAAATTACGTTGTGAGTTCGAGCAAGTATTGGTCCACGTAACACTTCTTTAGACCAGGGCAGCAAAGCTAAGCATGATATTATACGACATAAACATTGACGTGAACTAACAAACGTTTTAAACTGATGATGTGGTATGCCAATTTCACAGGAGACGCTGGTGATTCTCTGATGGTTCACAATGGTATGAAATTCACAACGAAAGACGTCGATCACGACCTCCAAGTGTATAATTGTGCTCAGGAATTCAAAGGGGCATGGTGGTACAACAGATGCCATGCATCCAATTTAAATGGTTTGTATCATCGCGGTGGAAATCACACCTCTTATGCTGATCGTATAAATTGGTCACACTGGAAAGGTCACTATAACTCGATGAAAACAGTCGCGATGAAAATAAAAGAAGTCTAAAGAATCGAAACACGTGGCGAATTGTTTGTTTTTTCTTAATTAACATTGATTTTGAACGTTCTTGTTTTCTTT